TGGTCAAACAATATGCAACATCTGTGGCACAATTTATTTTATTCTTAATTACAATTTTGCAAGCTTCGCCCACATGTTGCTATGCTTCCCCATCTAACCTCTTCTTAACAGCGCTGTTGGACCCTGACGCGTGTTTCCATAAGCCGTATGATGGTTAAGTGGTCAAAGAGCACGAACCCAATCTACCAAAGGAGCACACACGCGTTCCACGAAGACAGGCGTTCGCTGCCTGGTCATTTTCGGCCAAGATGAAAGGCATAAAAGTCGCACGTGTTGAAGTGTGTAAAACCGACATTAAATACGTGACCAACTTAGCAAAGATTTTGCCATTTCACTTAACGTGCCAACATAACAACAGTAACAACATTCGACAGCTGGACAGCCTGTAGACCGTTGCCAAAATGAATAACCAAAATAACAAACATAAATGTATGCAGCTCACACGTTCACACATGCATATTTTTATTGCTCCCGAGCTCGGAAAGCATAATCGGTCAAACGGTCAAGGTTGTATTCAATTAGCAGTAAAATTGCTGAGTAAAAGTGAAATGGCGCAAATGAACGAATTGTCGAGTCAAAGCCGACTGCGTTATTGTGCGTGTAGGAAGATCAGAAACTAATTTTTTATAAGAACCTCTGTGGTCTTACAAGAAGTGAGAAGAGAGAGGCCGAAATGCGTGAGTACGAAGAGCTCGGCAAGCTGGCCAGCAAGGATAATGCTCGAAAATTCTACGAAAAGATGCGGCGACTAACAGAAAGCTTCAAGACCGGAACATACTATATATTGAAGAGTCCGGAGAGGTAATCTAGTGACTGATGCGCGACCATGAAAAAGTTATATGGTTTAATAGACCGTATTATATGAAAGATTAAAGCCCACAGTCAACAAATTGATTGGATGATATCAGTGTAGCCTTAGACCTGGAAATCTACAATCACCAGATTTTCATCAAAATCTTGGCAAATACTCGTGAACGGAAGATCGACACACACTACCTCTTCGTCGATTTTAAAACCGCCTTTGACAGCACGGAAAGGAACTGCCTCTATGCCGTTATGTCGGAACTTGGTAGCCCCAAAGGAGACTCCCTATCATGTGACTTCTTCAATATAAGTATTCTTGAGGAAARTAATAAGAAAGCAATCCTCTATAAGAGCGTGCAGCAGCTTGCGTATGCCAACGATATCATTGGCCTTAACTCTCGCGCCGTTAGTTCTGTTATCTCCAGAATGGATAAGGGAGCGAAGCAAATATGTTGTGAACGAGTACAAGACGAAATATCTCCAGCTTCGAAATTGAGAAGTAATTGCCTCTCTCGACGAACAAACACCAAACTCTACAATGTACTCAGCATCTCTGCGCTGCTATATGGTACATAGGCATGGACGATGACAACATCTGACGAGTCGGCGTTGCGAGTCTTAAAGAGAAATGTTCTACGGAAGATTTATGATCCTTTGAAACGATGAGCTAAGCGAAATATGCGACGAAATTGACAGTTCTGCGAATTATGTCATGTCGTCCGATAGAATGAAAGCACTCCAGCTCTGAAGGCATTCGACGCAGGATCCGCGGAGGAAAGCAGAGGAAGAGGAGGAAGAGGAGGAAGAGGAAGACCTCCACTCCGTTKGAAAGACCACGTGGAGAAGAATCTAGCTGCACTTAGAATCTCCAATCGCCGCCAATCACGGAAGAACGACTGGCGCGCTGTTTTAAACTCGGCTATAACCAAGAAAGTGGTGTGTACGCCAACAAAGAAGAGGAAGATGATATTATTCAATAGAAAGGATCGCTATTCTAAAGCGCTAGCAAAAATTCGAACTCTTTCTTAATTAAAGTTCCCAGTACCTGGTCTGTGTTTGCGATTTTCCAATCAATCCGAAAAGGTGTTTGGCTTTCGAAAAAATAGCATAACAGCTACACTGGCTGCTTTTTCTTTTCCTTAAAGTACAGAAATAGGAAGGATATACAGAAACCACGGCAGCAACAAGTATGAGTTGTTGAGTTTTCACAGCACCGTGGTTAGCTAACGGTAGAGTGTTTTTACTTTATTTTCCCATGTTAGCCATATGCTTTGCAGTGTCTTACGTCTTTATTTGTTTAGGGAATCCGCTCAAATTGTTTGTGCCGAAACCATTACATTAGCCGCAACTCCATTGAGCTTGCAACATAACTCAACAAATTCAATGCAAACAATCAAAGAACATTTGCGCCCTCCCATTGCCACCACTTGCTTGCTTCGTTACATGCACGTTGTTACAACAGCAGCAACCAGAAAAGGAACAAGGTAAGCGGAAAAAAACACCAAAACAACGCTTCCAAAAGCCGAAGAATAATGGACTACAAAACAGCAAATAAATTCAATATTAGCCAACAACATCATCGTCTACTTGGCCAGCTAAGCAAACTGACAGCGCTGAGCGCTGCGGCCCGCCGTTGTTGGCGGCGTCGGTGTCGGCGATGTTAGACACAGGCTAGCAACACTTGCGCGCCAACACCGGGTATGTGTGTAGGTGTGCATCCTTTCAGCACCGCAGTGTAGAAAATATCGCAACAAGCGCCGCATAACATGTTACAATGACAATAACAACAACAAACACTATTTGTGGCATAACTACAACCAAAACACTACTGTAATACAACATGTATTACGAACAACACGCGCAGACAGACAGGCAGACAGCGATATGCAGAGAAGTAGATAAGGCGTGTGGCAGGATATATAAGGATACGCCCAAACAAGCACGTCACTATTAATGGTGTGGAACCACAAATATACACACACCTTTACACATCCAACAAGAAGGACAGCAGACAAGGCTGCGTTGCGGGTCAGCGCTTACGCTAAGTGGATTCGCATAAAATATTATCAACAAACATATGTGCATGACCAAAGTATTGTGTTTTAACTGAACAGACGGACCGAGGGTCTCAAGAGCCCAAGTTGTTTATGTGTCTTTAAACTAAACAACCGTACCAAAAGACTCAAGAACCCGAGATGACTGAACGAATGTACTCAAGAAACCAAGTTGTTCGTGTGTCTTTTAACTGAACAGCTGCTCTGAGAGTCTCAAGAACCCAAAGCGTACCAATAGTCTCACGAACCCAAGTTGTTTAACTGAACAACAGTGCCGAGAGTCTTAAGAATCTACGTTGTTCATGTGTCTTTTAGCAGAAAACTCAAGACCCCAAGACGCTAAAATAACAAACCGTACTGACAATCTTAAGAACCCTAACAGTTCCGGTGTCTTCTAACTAAACAGACGTACCGAAAGACTCAAGAACCCGAGATGACTAAAGGAATGTACTCAAGAAACAAGTTGTTCGTGTGTCTTTTAACAGAACAAACGTACCGGAAGACTCGAGACCCCAAGACGCTAGAATAACAAATCGTACTGACAATCTTAAGAACCCTAACAGTTCCGGTGTCTTTTAACTAAACAGACGTACCGAAAGACTCAAGAACCCAAGTTGTTCATGTCGTTTAACTAAACAGCCGTATATTTTAAGTAAACAGTCGTATGAAGTATGGCAGGAATCCAAGTTGCTCATGGGTCTTTCTTAGCAGTACCGAGAGGCACAAAAACATAAGTTGTTCATGTCTCAAGGAACCAAGTTATTCATATATTGAAGGTTTTTCAAGAACCCTAGTTGTTTATTAGGCTTAAAGTCGCTACGAGTCGACGTTTTCTTAACCTCGCATTTCATGGTGGTCCCGGATGGCTATCTAAAGAAAGCTCGTAAACAAAATCCAATTTCTTAAAACCCGATTATTTTTTCTAAGATCTCCGTTGGATGATCACAAAAAATTTGGAGAGGAATAATACAGTTAAGGCATTGAAAGCATAAAAAGTGTGCTTTGCCCAATCTACAAAAAGGAATCTGACCACATATTCACCATGCGCTAAATCTTGGAAAAAACCCCGTGAAAAGAAAATCGAAACACACTATCTCTTCGATTTTAAAACTACTTTTGACAGCACAAAAAGGGAAAGAAAGAGGAAGACTTCTACTCCGTTGGAGAGATCAGGTGAAGAAGGACCTGGCTGCGCTTAGTATCTCGGAATGGCGCCAAATAGCGAAAAGAGGAAACGACGCGAGCTGTTGTAAAATCAGCTATAGCCGCTTAAGCGGTTCCTACGCCAATAAAGAAGAGAGAAGAGAGAAGAAGATATAAAGTACATCAAATTCTGGAAGGTTGAAAAAGTCAATTAATGTTCTGTTAAAATGTCAAAAAGAAAGAATTTGAAAACAGTTCTAATCTTATATTTTTTCCGAATAGTGAAGAAATTCAAGAACCCAAAATGTTAACCACTATAAATTGGGGGTCTAAAACTGAAAATCTTTTAACCTTTTTTGGATTCTATCACTACCTGGGCTTTTTTAAGACCAAGGGCCTAACGTCTACTGAATGAACAAAAACCGCTATCCTTAACCAATATCGCCAATTAACATATGCCGGTCACCAGCAAAGACACACCAAAACTAGTACATATGGTGCATAAACACATAGCCGTAATAACAGTATAAAATAATATAATAATAAGCATTACGCAATTTATGTAATTTACAAAAACATTCTGATTTCTTAATAATTTTTTATAGTTTTCAAACACGTTCTATTCTGCGACAAAAAGCAGAAGCTACAAGCCGCAGTGGACGTGGTTAGTTGGAAATGTTATTTAACACCCTAATCACGTCCAGCAGTGACGCCAAATTTGTCATATAGCTTGAGCGCTCGTTGTCGATCGGACGCAATGGACTCATTGGGAATTTGGGTTTTCGCTGAATTTTATTACAAACACGCATGCGTATATAAAACTGAAGAAATGTGAGACAACAACAAAAGCAGTGTGGAGGTCAAACCCGAAGTCAAAATGCGTTCATAACTACCGTTTTGCCGACGCATTGGTTACAACAAATGAGACACAACCGCAGCGTAAACTTCGACAAATCGTATTTAATAGACACAGTGACCCCTCAACAATATCAGTTTACTTCTAACGGTCTTGGACAACACGATTGTTTACGTAAAGTCGCGGGTTTGCATAAAGGAATTACAGAACAATAATGTCGAACATATTGTACACAGTGGTCGCCGTTGGCTTATTGGCCACACTGGGTTGCGCTGAACCGCCACGTTCTCGTTTGCGGTTTCCCGGACCAGCTAATAATCGTCCACTGCCATTTTTAGCACGACAAGAAGCAGTACCATCAGTGCCATTAGACGTAGCTCCTTATCCACCGGCAGGTTTGAAACCAGAACCCGCCTTTGAATTACCAGAGCCCACTTATGGTCCTCCAGAAATAACATATGGGCCACCTGAGGAAGCACCAGACCAAACATACGGACCACCAGACCAAACGTACGGACCACCAGACCAAACATACGGTCCACCCGACCAAACATACGGTCCACCTGACCAAACATACGGACCACCTGACGAAACCTATGGACCACCTGCTGAGGAGCCTCTAGCTGAGCCTGCACCATCTTACGGACCCCCACCAGCTGTTCCCGCACCAACGTACGGTCCACCCGGCACACCGGCCGATGAGTATGGACCTCCACCACCAGCCGTAGCTGATGTACCACAAACTGCCTCGATCATTGATCCTCGTGCTGTCTTCCCACAAACTGTCTTCACGCTGCCACGTGTTGAACGTTTAGTGGCTTTCCGTCCAAGCGGTCGTCCAGCACCAGCTAAGCTGCGCCGTCCGGCGCCGCGTCCAAAGCCAGCAAAATTAACTCGCCCTCGACCACAACATCTAACACAAGCCCAAATACAACCAGCTAAATTAATTTTACACATTCGTCACTAAATAATGCAAAATCCCGGCTCTGATTTCCTAAGCAGAGTTGGTGTATTTTTGTTGTTGTTGATATACATATGCATATGTTTGTACATAAATAAGCTTTCGTTGTATTCTAAGGTTCTGTTAATTCGTTGTACTTACTCTAAAAATATATTTTACTTAATTGTTATAACTAAAATATCTAAACGAAATCAAATCTTTTTTTACTAAAAATTGTAAAGGACTAGTTATGTACATGGAAGTGTCCTAGTTTCGATTCCAACCTTTTCATTTTCGCTCTAAATTGCATTCCGTTCGAAAGTTAGGTTATATTACTTTCAGATCCCTTTTCAACAAATAAGGTTACGTTAAAAGAAAAAAAAAACGCGGAAGTAAGACACAAACATTTGCCGCCTAGCTAATATATAGTATTATCCTGCTACCCAAGTTAATTACCAAACATCGAAACCAAAAATTTCTGCTAGCTTCTGAGTTTCTTAGCAAAGTTCTTGTGTACGTGTTATCGTGCATCCTTCTCAGGCAGAGGCATTGAGATGTACAGACGTGCAATTTACGTGTAAGTCCTTTGAATTTGAATTCCTGAGTAATACTTACATTAGAGGTCAGCACTACTTCCTTTTCCACGAAGAGAATAATCTTTTGGGCAACTGTTCACAAATACCACTATTTTATCACTTTACACTGTAACACTGTAGCAGACTCAAACTTTATTTTATACACAAATATAAACTACATACATTTTAAAATCATTTTGATTTCTGCACTACATTTATAAATTATAACGCACTTTATGAAAAACTGTTGATATTTTCCATTTTAGCAAAATGTCAAAATAACGGAAGTGTAATAGAAGAAGAGTCATAAACATAAGGGCGCCATACACGCTGTGAAGTGGTACCAAACGAATAATTCGTATAAATAGTTTAAAAAAAATGTATATTGCAACAAGCTACTATTTAAAAATATTAAGTAAAATTTAAATTTATTAAAACTTTTGTTTTGTACAGTTTTCAGCTCTATCTTTGTTAGCAAAATACTTTTTTAATACACAGTATATTTCACTTTTATTAATAACATATGGCAACACTTAATGTCTCGCTACTCCAAATTCGGGCTGTCAGTCACGTACACAAAACTTGTAAACAATGAAATGAAAATCATCAGAATTGCGTATTTACAGTCAAAAGTTAAAAACAAAAAAAAATAAATAAAATAAAATGGATATAAATCATCGACTTATAGAGGCCGTACGACAGTGCCCTTTGCTTTACAAAAATAATGCCTCATTATCGGATCGTAGATGTGGTTGGCAACAAATTGCCCAACAAATGAAAATGCAAGGTATGCACGACCATATTGCTATAGATTTGGCTCGAAAAATTTATACGATATTTACAATTTTATAGAGGCACTGTTGAAGACTCGTTGGCACTTTTTACGAGAGCATTACAAACGCAATGCTATCGCAGACAATACACTGGAGTCTAATCAATTTCCATACAAAAAAGAGATGGATTTTCTATTACCATATTTACGTCCTCCACCCAGGGAAGAAGAGCAAAATGAAGCAGCTTTTATGCCAGAAGGCGTAATAAAGCCAGAATTCGTTATAACTGAAAAGGATTTGGAGAACGATAGCGGCAATGAGGAATATGTATTTTTGGAAGTAGAGACGCTTGGCCCTGAATATGAAACAACTAATGTAGTAACACAACAAATAAGTGCAAACGAACTTAAGAAAGAACTGCAACAAGAGCTGGAACAACAGCATGTGGAATATGACAGCGAAGAACTTACACATATTGAAATGGAAGTGCATGTGAAGGAGGAAGAAATAGAAAATAAACCGATCTACAATGACCAACAAGTGGAACAAGATTCCATAAAAGAAAACGCAGAAGCTACCTGCAATAGGAATGGCGCCAAGGAGGACGAAGCCGTGCGCAATCAAATACAAGAGGCTTCCGAAGAAAAACGAGAGAACAAAGTAGAAGTTCGAGAGGGAGATAGCAGCAGTGACAATGTTACAAATAACATCGATCGCAGCGAAGATGCTATTTTCGGTGAATTGGTATCGGCAATGTTAAAGAAAATGCCAGCAGAAAAGAAACGTATCGTTAAGCGTGACATTATGAATTTGTTGCTGACATAAATTTATGGGAGGGCACAGGAATCGCGAAAGATGACTATAGATATCTTTATGCATTTTAATTATAAGTTATATAAACATTTAACTAAAACTATGTATATTGATACAATAAGCTGAAAACAGACTTCTAGATTTAATATATTTACTACAATCGATAATTTATAATCTCAAAAGATGTTTGTATGTGTACCATATCCAAATATTAGTCCTTTTCGTATGCGAATTTTTTAATAAATGTATGTAGATAATTTTAAAGCACATTATACAGTTTGAATTAGAACAGTTCAAGAATGAATTATATATTTTCTATATTGCATTTCCGCTAAAAATTTTTGACACCTCAACTTTAGCAAATTATTTTTGTAGAGTTCAAGCTAGTTTGACATGTTTATTATTTTTGTAAACAATAATTTTAAAGGTGTGCTCCAAATGCATACAAATTGATTTCCACGCAATAATACGGTCAAAATAATTCGTCAATTATCTATTATCACGATTGGAAATAAGATATACATACATACATACATACGCATGTATATTTTCTGTGGATTAATACAATTTGGCACTCATCGTTCATTTGTAAACCGATCTAATTGGTCTTTCGCAGCACACGATGCACATTTAATTTGCAACAGTGCCGCTTACGTCCGAAAACGTATATAAACGGTTTCGCACAGTTTTCGAAAACCCCAAGTGCTGTGGCATGCGTCACACCTACGCGCAACGACTCTGTCAATTGCTCATGCCATGAAAATTCCATATTTTCCACCACCATCACGGCGCTCAAGTTTTGTCCCATAAATTTAATCTGCTTTACAGCATCCTCGCTGCGCGCCAGCACAATAACAAAAGCAAAGCGCGTGAAATTTAACCAATCGAACAACACATGCAGACACACTTGCTTGGCCAAATCGATTATCATTAACTTGCAGTTGAAGGTAATCATATCCTGTATGATAGCCTGTTTGAGCTTGCTATTGAAATCTTGTCGCGCCACATCGGTAAACTTATATGGCGTCAAGTATTCGGGCCATTGCATATACCATGGGTACTGGCGATTTATGAAACTATGCGCCAGCTTGCGCCGCGTATCGAACGAGTTGTTAAACGATGCAATTTGTTGTTCCAAAGGCACAGGGATATTTAATTTCTTGTAAGTGTACAATGTGTCCTCCTCGTATTGCGATTGGTTGGAAAGTTCATCTGAATTGATGCCAATTGGTTTCTTGGTTCTTTCTAATTCAGTGGCATTGTCCTCGGCCGACTCACATAGCAATAGTTTGCCTTTGCCCTCGTCGAAGCAGCAACGAATCACTGTTGGTGGTTGATAATTTTTGAAACCGCGTTCCGCGAGGTAGCCATGCAGCCAGATATTGCCGAACTGTGTGTCTGGATAATAGTAAGAGCACCTATGCTTGATATGCGTATCGCAAACATTGTCGGACAGTATTAATGGCCATAGGCTATCGAAGAATGACTTGCGCAAAGTCAAGTGCGACATGGTAGCTTCGGTGCGCTTAAAAATAACCGTTATTTACACAGATCGTACTGAAAAAACGTGTTAAATGATTTTTTAATGAAAAGGAAAAATAAGACAATTTCAAAATGAAAAACAAAAAAATTCCAAAATGAGAAAAAATATCAAAATGAAAAAATATATGTACATTAAAATGAAAAAAAAAATTTAATTAAAAAAAAACAAAAATTATAAATAGGCTCATACTAC